AAAAAAAAAAAAATTAATAAAATATCCTTTACCTGGCCCTGCAGTCAACAGTCCGTATTTATAAATAATTGTATTCCTATTTTTTTTTTTTTTTTTACACGGTTAGGGGGAGACCCAAAGACTTCCACCTTGGCACACAGCGTGTTGGGACGATTCATCATGTTGGTGGACAAGTGTGTTGCTGGGGACATAATCCTTGGCCTAAGCTTTTGAAGACCTCGGTCTTCGGAGTCTTAGCTGAGCCTAACATTTTATCTCCGGTCTACAAACTTAAGTGTATGATCGGTTGGCCCGGATTAACCTAAAGGCAAATGAGGTACGTGACTAGGTGCCTTTAGGGTCCCCTTGCTGTTTAGGAACCCTGTGCATTTCAGGGGCCCCGCGTCAAAAGCTACATCAAAGGCTACAATTTTTTTGGGGTTGGGAGTGGATTGATCATGAAGATACCTGAAATGGCGTAATGTATAACAAATGATGGTCATTACTCTTGGAGCAATCTTGGAGCAATTCTCCAATCATACATAACTTTTTAATTTTTTGAGACTTGGAGAGAAAACAAAAAGCAGACTAAAGGGAACAACACAGGTCTTAACCATCAAATTTGAGCCAACAAGACAATTCTCACCGACCCATGTTTACTTCTGAAACCCAAGATTAAATAAAAGTCCACTGGGCTATGTAAAATATGGACTATATATTTCAGTTCTTTCACCTTATAAATTGTCCGTGGTTTCTCATAAATTTAAATTAAGATATAAAATTTAACAAAAATGGTGGCTGCCCGCCAATGATGATCATAATATGCAATAAATATGTGATCGGGAAGGCCAAAGGTTGAGAGCGACAATAACAATGTTTGATATTGTCATAGATAACGATAGATCTTACACTTTGGTTATTTGTTTTTTATTACTGGTAACACAATTATTCCCCCACCCCCCCCCCCCCAAAAAAAAGGGTTACATTTGGTTTAACCTTGATTGGAGTAGTTAGATTAGATTTAACCTTGATTGGAGTAGTTAGATTAGATTTAACCATGAGTGGAGTAGTTAGATTAGATTTAACCATGAGTGGTGTAGTTAGATTAGATTTAACCTTGAGTGGAGTAGTTAGATTAGATTTAACCATGAGTGGTGTAGTTAGAGGTTGTGTCGACCGGGACAGTCCTTGAATTTGCCGCCCATAATTAACGGAAACTCCGCCTAGGCCGGTCACAAGCCGGTAAAAAGAGAGCCCAGCTAGGAGGAGGGTTGGCGAGAGGCCAGCTAGGAGGAGGGTTGGCGAGAGGTCAGCTAGGAGGAGGGTTGGCGAGAGGTCAGCTAGGAGGGTCAACGTGAGGCCATCTAGAAGGAGGGTTGGCGTGAGTACCACATAAATCATGGTATAAACCTTGGCATGAACCTGGGCATGAAACCTGGGCATGAAACCTGGGCATGAAACCTGGGCATGAAACCTGGGCATGAAACCTGGGCATGAAACCTGGGCATGAAACCTGGGCATGAAACCTGGGCATGAAACCTGGGCATGAAACCTGGGCATGAAACCTGGGCATGAAACCTGGGCATGAAACCTGGGCATGAAACCTGGGCATGAAACCTGGGCATGAAACCTGGGCATGAAACCTGGGCATGAAACCTGGGCATGAAACCTGGGCATGAAACCTGGGCATGAAACCTGGGCATGAAACCTGGGCATGAAACCTGGGCATGAAACCTGGGCATGAAACCTGGGCATGAAACCTGGGCATGAAACCTGGGCATGAAACCTGGGCATGAAACCTGGGCATGAAACCTGGGCATGAAACCTGGGCATGAAACCTGGGCATGAAACCTGGGCATGAAACCTGGGCATGAAACCTGGGCATGAAACCTGGGCATGAAACCTGGGCATGAAACCTGGGCATGAAACCTGGGCATGAAACCTGGGCATGAAACCTGGGCATGAAACTGGGCATGAAACCTGGGCATGAGCCTGGGCATGAAACCTGGGCATGAGCCTGCGCATGAAACCTAGGCATGAAACCTGGGCAAGAAACCTGGGCATGAGCCTGGGCATGAAACCTGGGCATGAGCATGAAACCTGGGCATGAGCCTGGGCATGAAACCTGGGCATGAGCCTGGGCATGAAACCTGGGCATGAGCCTGGGAATGAAACCTGGGCATGAGCCTGGGCATGAACTTGACATGAACTTTGGCATCAACTTGATAAACCTTGGCATAAACCTTGGCATGAACCTTGACATAGTTAATGAAGCTAATGTCAACTGCCGAGACTAAGAACACGATCTTTATCAACGGACACTTCTGTAACAGACAATGGACCGACTGAAAATAACTTCAGAACCAGGAAGTTCGGTGTGCAGCGAGGAGGTGGGGGGTGGTGGATCTGTATTTGTAAAAGTTATGAAGCCCTCAACAATAACGGTCGCTGTGCCAGTTTATGCCTGGTATCTTAAATGGTCACCTGAGTTATGATTATATCTCACTCTCTCCCTGCTCCCCCTCTCTCTCTCTCTCCCTCCTCCCCCTCTCTCTCCCTCCCCCTAAGGCACATGTCAAACGATGAAACAAAACAAGTTTTAAAAAAAAACTTCATTTTATGGCTTAGAAAACATGACAGGTGGATGGAAAAGAGCTCCAGGGCTTCCTCTGTTAGGCCTTCCAGTTTTTAGGCCTTACTATTTTAGGCCTTCCTATGTTTCGCTCGGCCATGCTCACTCATCAGATCTCTTAAAGGCCTTGACCACATAATTTTAAATTTTTTTTAAAATGAGGTTTTCACATCAGACCTGAGTAACGCTATCACACGAAAACAATTGAAATCGAATGTTTCCTCATTGAAAAAGTAATCGATTATTCTTTTAAAACAACGTGTTACGTACACACCCAAAAAAAAAAACAACGTTATTCGATTCCTGTAAACTTTTAAGATACAAAAAAAAAAACCCATTACATTTCAAATCTTTCTTTGAATTTAGTTACATAAATTTATTATGGAAACTGTCAGCACAATCATTGAATAACTTTGCAATGTTCTGTGCCTCAACAGTTAAAACACAATGTAAAGCCTTAGATAACAAGAAGAATTGGACTCCTTTAATTGACAAGACATATTTAAAACATTAGTTATTTACATGGGCTCAAAGTTATCACAGAATGGACTATAAAAAAAAAAGGATGAGGTGCAACCATGACTTGGCAGTGTCTATGACTTCAATTGTGGCCTAAGAAATCTTTACTGTCGGAGAAACACAGTCACTCACTACTGGGCCATAGGGTCAGCAGCAGAGCCACCGCGTGACTTTTGGAGCCACTCCCCCCTTTTTTTTTACAACTTTTCGATTCAAAACCATGCCCAGTAAAATCGCGAACCCCTCTGCAAACATTGGAGCCAGAATGATCAATTCATTGATCGCGGGCCCTCAACATATACAAGAAGAAGATTTGTTCCCCTTATTAAACTTGTTCCATTCTCCCCCCCCCCCAACCCCGATAAATGTTCGATTTGTTCGCCTTAAAACAGTTCCAATGTTCCCCCTACAACTTTTCGATTTTTTCCCCATAAAACTTTTCGATTTGTTCCCCCTACAACTGTTAGATTTGTTCACCCCCATCTCCGATAAATGTTCGATTTGTTCGCCTTAAAACAGTTCCAATGTTCCCCCTACAACTTTTCGATTTTTTCCCCATAAAACTTTTCGATTTGTTCCCCCTACAACTGTTAGATTTGTTCCCCCTACAACTGTTAGATTTGTTCCCCCTACAACTGTTAGATTTGTTCCCCCTACAACTGTTAGATTTGTTCCCCCTACAACTGTTAGATTTGTTCCCCCTACAACTGTTCCATTTGCTGCCTACATTCAAACTTGATAGTAGTTTTTATTTCAGCATCTCAACTTTGGGCCTCTTAAAGATCCGAAGCCCGCCCGCCCCCCCCCCCCCCCCCGGCAGGCGAAGGGGCTGCAGGCCCCACGTGACAGCTCTGGCCAGTAGCTCAAAACATTGTAAATAATAAATTATACATTAAAATCTTTACACTATGATATTTACACCCGTCAGTCCAAATCAACTATAGACAGTTTGTACGGTTTCACCAAATCATGGCTTGGTGACACCACGCTTAAAATACATTGGTGACACCACACTTAATATGCAAACACCTATAACAAAATAATTACCAGTCGCAAGCAGATGTGTCTCCAATCACAAGTACAAAGTTTGCATCCTCTTCTTGAGGTTTGACGCGGGCCCACCAGAAGAACCCGAAGACCCAGCTTTGGTCATAGAACTAATGTCAGAATCTTTAAAATCCCTGGCGATGTGATGGCCGTTGCCACTGCTGCCGGAAGTCGAGTTCGATTCCTGACTTCCCGTTTTGGTCGGCTGCAGGCGATCTCTCCTGGCGTTGGTCTCTACGTTGCTCTTGGAGTGTTTGAAAAATCTGCTCGCTTTAGATTCCTTCGGTGCAGCTTTCGCAGCTGTCACGGATGACGATCGGTTTGAGGAAACCAGGCCCAAGTTAGACACCGTGGTCACGCGCAATTCAACCTGTGAGGTATGGCCGTTCGAAGTAGTGGAAGAAGGCGTGGTTTCATGATCCCTGGGCGTGGTCTCGTTATCCCTGGACGTGGTCTCTTTATCCCTGAGCGTGGTCTCATTATCTCTTGCCGTTTCCGAGGACGCCGGAGACGAAGACTGTGTTGGGAAAAGGTCCGGGGGCCTCGGCGGTAGGGGCGGTGGAACGCCCTTGGGGACAGCGGGGGGCGGTAACCCTTTGTTTTGATGAAGCACTCCCTTGGGGGACCCGTTGCTTCCTTCCAAAAGATTGTCGTTACTCTTACGGAAATCCGCCTCCATGTCAAACCTGAGCTTGCTCGGGTCTTGAGGTTGATATTTGGCATGATAGCTCACCCTCTCCCCGGCCTCAATCGCCATTAGTCTGGCTCGAAACTCGTCCAGCGGCTCGTAAGCTGGCTCCTCCCAGTAGCTCTCCTCGTCCGAGTCGTACGTAAATTTTGTTTTGATCGGAGCCGGTCCCCCGTCTCGCACGTACGCGTACAGGTCGTCGATCTCGTCCATGAGAAGGTGCTCTCTGGACCTGGACCTGAGCGATGGCGTTGACGCCGCCTGCAAGGGGACTGAAAAAACGTTAGTGTTGGGGCGGCCCTTCCCTTTGGCCGCCGCCTCCGGGACTTGCACTATCAGATGGAGCGTGTTGTTGTAGTTGGCGATCATTCGGTTGCACTTGGTGATCATGGTGCGGTACAGTTCGCTGGACTTCATCGCCTGCTGGTTGCTCGCGGCGACCAGCTGAAGATTGACGTCGATGGGCACAGGGAGGAGGCGCACCAGGTTCTTATCAACCGGACACACAAATGCGGTCTCGTCCGTGTAGACCCAGTCCAGTCGTATGACCCCCGTGAATCTGGACGGGTCCACTTTGGGTCGGACCCCCTGCACAAGTTTCACCGTTAGAGGGAGTCTAAATCTGCGCACAATGTCCCTGATTTGAAATACCCCCGTGAAGTCATTTTCCCCGGCAATAGGAGTGAATGTTCCCTTCTGATCAAAGCTGAGATAAATTATCTCCCCTTTCGAATCAAAACAACGAAGGAGTTTGACTTTCTTATTTTCCCCAGGGGAGGGTAACTCCAGCTCACCGTTTAGCACCAGCTGGTCGCCTGCTATAACAATTTTGGTTTTGTCAAACGTGCACCGCTCGTCTTCGCTCATGAGGTAGGCTTTGATGTTCTCCCGCACCAGGCAGCGGTCGGGCCTGACCTTTGACAGCTCGTGCACGCTCCCGATCGGACGAGCCGATTTCCCGTCCTCCGACAGCAGTTCGAACCAGCCTTGATACGAGATGGGTATGGCCAGCCGCTGGTCCACGGCGTACAGCTTTGTGGCCATGTAGATGTTATGATTGCCGCGCCTGGAGATCGTCGTGGCGTCCACGCGCCGTAGGCAGTGGGCCAGCACCTTGACGCCAACTTTGATGGAGTGGAGGAACACCTCTTGATACTGTCTTTGAAAGGAAAACTTGTTGGCGCCGAGGGTCATGTAGTTCCCTTTCACAACTTTAGCGAATCCAGGGACCGGGCGCTTGGAGGCGAAGTCTCTGAGAGGAACAGCATCGGTTCCCCAGTCGGGAACCGGAGAATGGGGTGCCGGGTTGGCCATGGGATCAGGTGTTGCCATCTTCCTATGTCAACCCTTTCCTTGGGTGACGCCGCTGGATAAGAAATTGGTTTAGATAGGATCAATGTCAGAGACAATATTGTACAATCTTTGTAAAATAACAATATCCTAATAACTTATAAATTATTATTTACATTTTTTATTATTTAAATTATTATCTTGTCAATCGTTTAAAGATATCATTCTCCGAAATAAAATTTACTTCATAAAGCCATTCTTCTATATCTAATAACACCATTTTATAAAGCCATTCTTAGTTGTAATAACAGAAACTATTTTATAAAACCCTTCTTAGTTGTAACAACAGACACTATTTATAAAACCATTCTCATTTGCTATAACAGACAATATTTAATAAAAACCATTCTTAATTGTTATAACAGACACTATTTTATAAAAACCATTCTTAATTGTTATAACAGACACTATTTTATAAAAACCATTCTTAATTGTTATAACAGACACTATTTTATAAAAACCATTCTTAATTGTTATAACAGACACTATTTTATAAAAACCATTCTTAATTGTTATAACAGACACTATTTTATAAAACCATTCTTAATTGTTATAACAGACACTATTTTATAAAAACCATTCTTAATTGTTATAACAGACACTATTTTATAAAACCATTCTTAATTGTTATAACAGACACTATTTTATAAAAACCCTTCTTAATTGTTATAACAGACACTATTTTATAAAAACCATTCTTAATTGTTATAACAGACACTATTTTATAAAACCATTCTTAATTGTTATAACAGACACTATTTTATAAAGAAAACCATTCTTAATTGTTATAACAGACACTATTTTATAAAACCATTCTTAATTGTTATAACAGACACTATTTTATAAAACCATTCTTAATTGTTATAACAGACACTATTTTATAAAACCATTCTTAATTGTTATAACATACACTATTTTATAAAGAAAACCATTCTTAATTGTTATAACAGACACTATTTTATAAAACCATTCTTAATTGTTAGAACAGACGCTATTTTATAAAACCATTCTTAATTGTTATAACAGACACTATTTTATAAAACCATTCTTTATTGTTATAACAGACACTATTTTATAAGATTCTTGCCGTTGAACAGGATTGCGTGTATGAGTATGTAGTTTTTTTTAAACGGGCCGCTTCTTTAAAAAAAATCTCCCCATTATTCTTAATGTAACATTCTATTTTTATACTGAACGTTGCATAGCTAAAATGTGTTGTATACTCACACACAGATATGTTGACGCCAGCAGCTGAGACGATAAGGAAATAAATGTTCGATCTCCGCTAATTTCCAGGATGTATTTAAATTAAACTCTTGTCTTTGTTGTCATGTAATAATCTCCTAGAATGAAGGCAGAACTTTTAAGTTGGCGTGTCCATAGGTCGACTTGTCGGCCTACCATAGGCTGGCGTCTTGTAGGCCCAGAGCCAGATTCATGCCTGTTGGACTTGTTACACACCTTAAGAAACAAGTCGCGAGTCATCTGAAGGCGTGACGATCAGACTACGCCAGCGAAAACGCCGCTATTCAATATGTCGTCTGCCACACACTTCCACAAACATACACACGATGATAAATTGCATGTAAAGGCGTATCCATAATAGGGTCGACAACCGTCCGTCGTCGGTGTTACAAATGGCAACCTACTGTGAATTCCTCCCAACGGGCAATCGACCCTACACCTCTGTATGAGATTATTTGACACACTCGGTCTCTTTGAGTCTGTCACCTGAAAACACACTTCTTTACCCGTCGGACGGGTTGCTAAAAATAAATATTTTTTTTGTTTTTTTTTTTTTAAAGAAGGATCTCGATCTCTGATCCAGCACGCGGACTGCATGCATAATGTTTTGTTTATGTCTTGTTGGTTAGTTGGAGATGACCACTTAACGTTAGTGGGTAAACGGTTTTTGTTGGTTAGATGGAGATGATCTCTCACGCTACTGGGTAAAGGTTTTTGTTGGCTAGATGGAGATGATCTCTCAAGCTACTGGGTAAAGGTTTTTGTTGGTTAGATGGAGATGATCTCTCACGCTACTGGGTAAAGGTTTTTGTTGGCTAGATGGAGATGATCTCTCACGCTAGTGGGTGAAGGTTTTTGTTGGCTAGATGGAGATGATCTCTCAAGCTACTGGGTTAGGTTTTTGTTGGTTAGATGGAGATGATCTCTCAAGCTACTGGGTAAAGGTTTTTGTTGGCTAGATGGAGAAGATCTCTCACGCTACGGGGTGAAGGTTTGTGTTGGTTAGATGGAGATGATCTCTCACGCTACTGGGTGAAGGTTTGTGTTGGCTAGATGGAGATGATCTCTCACGCTACTGGGTGAAGGTTTGTGTTGGCTAGATGGAGAAGATCTCTCACGCTACTGGGTGAAGGTTTGTGTTGGCTAGATGGAGATGATCTCTCACGCTACTGGGTGAAGGTTTGTGTTGGCTAGATGGAGAAGATCTCTCACGCTACTGGGTGAAGGTTTGTGTTGGTTAGATAGAGATGATCTCTCACGCTAGTGGGTGAAGGTTTGTGTTGGTTAGATGGAGAAGATCTCTCACGCTACTGGGTAAAGGTTTTTGTTGGCTAGATGGAGAAGATCTCTCACGCTACTGGGTGAAGGTTTGTGTTGGCTAGATGGAGATGATCTCTCACGCTACTGGGTGAAGGTTTGTGTTGGCTAGATGGAGATGATCTCTCACGCTACTGGGTGAAGGTTTGTGTTGGTTAGATGGAGATGATCTCTCACGCTACTGGGTGAAGGTTTGTGTTGGCTAGATGGAGATGATCTCTCACGCTACTGGGTGAAGGTTTGTGTTGGCTAGATGGAGAAGATCTCTCACGCTACTGGGTAAAGGTTTTTGTTGGCTAGATGGAGAAGATCTCTCACGCTACTGGGTGAAGGTTTGTGTTGGTTAGATGGAGATGATCTCTCACGCTACTGGGTGAAGGTTTGTGTTGGCTAGATGGAGATGATCTCTCACGCTACTGGGTGAAGGTTTGTGTTGGCTAGATGGAGAAGATCTCTCACTCTACTGGGTGAAGGTTTGTGTTGGTTAGATAGAGATGATCTCTCACGCTAGTGGGTGAAGGTTTGTGTTGGTTAGATGGAGATGATCTCTCACACTACTGGGTGAAGGTTTGTGTTGGCTAGATGGAGAAGATCTCTCACGCTACTGGGTAAAGGTTTTTGTTGGCTAGATGGAGAAGATCTCTCACGCTACTGGGTGAAGGTTTGTGTTGGCTAGATGGAGATGATCTCTCACGCTACTGGGTGAAGGTTTGTGTTGGTTAGATGGAGATGATCTCTCACGCTACTGGGTGAAGGTTTGTGTTGGCTAGATGGAGATGATCTCTCACGCTACTGGGTGAAGGTTTGTGTTGGCTAGATGGAGAAGATCTCTCACGCTACTGGGTGAAGGTTTGTGTTGGTTAGATGGAGATGATCTCTCACGCTACTGGGTGAAGGTTTTTGTTGGTTAGATAGAGATGATCTCTCACGCTACTGGGTGAAGGTTTGTGTTGGTTAGATGGAGATGATCTCTCACGCTACTGGGTGAAGGTTTTTGTTGGTTAGATAGCGATGATCTCTCACGCTACTGGGTAAAGGTTTGTGTTGGTTAGATAGAGAAGATCTCTCACGCTACTGGGTAAAGGTTTGTGTTGGTTAGATAGAGATGATCTCTCACGCTACTGGGTAAAGGTTTTTGTTGGCTAGATGGAGAAGATCTCTCACGCTACTGGGTAAAGGTTTTTGTTGGTTAGATAGAGATGATCTCTCACGCTACTGGGTAAAGGTTT